TTGAGAATGAAGACCTTGTGAAGAGAATCATCAAACACTTAAAAATGTCAAGGATTCTCTACATAATGTGCCGCATCCCAGGTTTCTGTTGGATTTTAGCAGTTGTCCTGGAGCAGATGTTGGAAGCTGACAACAGCAATGTCCCGACATCTCTGACCCAGCTCTACATATACTTTGTGCTCATTCAAACGAGCGTAAAGAATCAGAAATATCAATTCCAATCAAATAAAGAAATTATTATGAAACTGGGTAAATTAGCCTTCCATCAACTGGAAATTGAAAATTTTATATTTTACAAAGAGGACTTGAGAGATTGTGGCATTGATGATGTATATGAAGCCTCGGTTTACTCTGGATTGTGCACAGAAATCGTTAATGAGGAAGACATGATGGATCAGGAGAAAGTGTATAGCTTTGTGCACGTAAGTATTCAGGATTTTCTTGCAGCTTTGTATGTGTCTTATACATACAAAAACACCAAGATTAACCTGCTCAATAAAAAACAAAGTGGGACACGAGAGGAGTTGTTTGACTTCCACAAGAGTGTGATTAATAAGGCCTTACAGACCAGGAACGGGCATCTCAACCTTTTCTTGCGCTTTCTGCTTGGCCAGTCAGAACCTCCTGAAAGACCTTGTGACAGACAAAGAGACCAGCTCACAGGGTGTCAAAGAAACAGTCAGATACATCACGGGGATTATAAAGGACGAAACATACCCAGAGATGTCCATCAATCTCTTCTACTGCCTGAATGAACTCGGGGACAACTCTCTAGTGGAGGAGGTTCAAAACTACCTAAGGTCTGGGAAGCTCTCAAGGAAGAAGCTGTCACTGGCTCAGTGGTCGGCTCTGGTTTTTGTGTTGCTGACATCAGAAAAGATAGACCATGTGTTTGATTTGAAGAAATACAGCAGGTCAGAAGAAGCACTACTGAGACTGATTCCTGTGATAAAGTTCTCCAAAACAGCTCTGTAAGTATTAAGATGTGGTTCAGTTTCATATTTAAAAGAAACCCATTTTATCAAGCATTTGTCATCAGCTTTAAAAAGGAAACTTCGGGAGACATTTATACATTGAACAAAACATACCTAATTTGTTAGTCTCCTAGGAACTCCTTGAGGTGTGAGGTGTGTCTTCAGACAGGAAGGGACTCGGCTGTTCTAATGGCAAGAGGAAGTTCGTTCCACCACTGAGGAGCCAACATTGCAAAAAGTCTTGATGCATGTCGTCCTCTTTTAAGTGTTGGTGGTTTGAGACGAGCAGCGCTTGATGCTCTGAGAGGACAGGAAGTGACACGATGCTCACAGCTTTAACCATGGCATGTATCACAGTGCTGAAAGCGTAAATGTCAACTGCACCTCAGCTGAGCCCGTATGCAATTTGAACTGTCAATCTTATGCTTAGGCAAATATTCTTAACTGCCTTGCAGCTGAGCACACCACCATTTGCCCTTATTAACTGTCCTTCTTCAGCCCAGGTTATGTGTCCCACAGTCATGTTCACTGTTGGGTCTCAGTAGTATGTTGTGATCCCCCCCGTTTCTCCTGATGCTCTTTACAGGGCTATTACATGCTGTGTCTCCTCAACCACTAACTGTCCTTTTCTCATGCAGAGTGGACCATTGTGGAGAATGCTGGATCAGACCAGGCCTACAGAAATGTAAGTCTGTTTGTGCTAAAGAACAGCACTGGAGCCAAGCTTACTGGAGCTGACCTCTATAGCTAGACAATTGCTAAGGAAGTACCTGCCCTAACTTGCGAAAAGTGATATGGACATTGGCTGAACCACAATAATTGTAATGAACAGCACTGTAGCCTTACACCTACAGGGTTGGGGGCTATAAATCCCACTTCCACTGTGTGTGTGGAGTTTACAGAGTCTCACATTCTATAAATATTTGTTTTCTCTCACACAGTAGCAGACTCAGGGTGTTGGAAGGACAGCTATTGCTTTATGTGTGCACCACCGCAATCCCCTTCAGGATTCCATTATACTATGTTTGGAATGTGGAGATTATGCAAACACTCTACATTAGAATCTTTGCAGATCAATGGTATGCCACGTATGGTACGCTACGTATGGTACGTTATTTATGGTACTCTATGTTTGGTATGCTATATATGTATGGAGAAGTTATTCTTCATTCTCAATTAAGTTTATTCAACTAATGTTTTATCGATTTAAGACAATGAAACTGAAACACTGGCCAATAAAATGTTTGAGGTTTCACACCTACAAATGTGTGGTCTGGTGGCCCCAAAATACAAATAATAACAAACTCAAGATTTTAATAACTGGGCCCATAAAAGAGGTCAACAAAAATGAACAAAACTTATTACGAAGCAAAGTATTAACTGAAACAAACTGACTTTCTAATAAAGAGACATGAGGGAACATATGTGAAGTGAAGTGAAACTTTATTGTCATTCATACCATACAACATATATAGTGGTTTGGCCAAACCAATTAACACACAAAGGGGTAAACCAAATAATCACTACAAATAATTAAACAAAGCAAAACACAACTAAATCCCAACTCCCCCCCTCTTGCCATGGCAGCACATGGTTTGCTCCTGCTCCAGGGGTTGTCCTTTTGAGAGATCGCCGCCCTCAGCCACACCTTTATACTGCATAGAAAAGACCATCCCCCACAACCAAAGTAACTGCAAACCAAATAATTGTCTAAATTAATCATTGCACACAACCCTACAATATCAAAATATACAACCCCAAACGCAAAAAGCAAAACACATCAACTAAGATCTGAATTACTGTAAAGCAAAAAGCATACACAATAAATCAACTAAGGATGTAAGTATGTTTCAGGTCTTACTGTGTGGCTGTAGCCATCACACTGACATTGAATACAAATAAAAATCAATAACAAAACACTTTCAATTATGTTAAACTTAATAGCATATGAGAAACATAGAACACGATTAAATACGTTAGTTAACTGTTAATATATACACACAATGTGTGTGTGGAAGTAACCAAGTTATTTAATTAATGTGTATAATTACACAAAATTGGTTTATTTTGAATTTGTTAATTGTAATTTGCTATTGCCGCACCACCTCATGGTTTGTCAATGGAAGATTCACACAACGCAGATAAACCAGTTACGTAGACTGTATAAGAACAGGTATTCAGAATACAACCGAAGCTTTGAAGAAAATAAACTGCTTTATTTTTATAAATAGACTGTTGCATAATCATACTGTTGACTTATCGCGGTGTTACAGGTATGCAAATCAATATCGTGGCCGACAATCACAGCGGAATTGACTATGACACCGGTGTAGCGCGCCCCTATCTAGGACACACTGAATGCATGCCGCATGCGGCAGGGAGCTGCTGTTGTGTATCTGCGCGGTTACCCACACCCCCCGCGTGGCTGCTCTTTTTACAATGTCCACAAAAACATACAGGGATTATTATTATTATGGTCGTTTTTCCATAATGAATCGGGTTCCCAGCCTGTGTGGGGCTCACCATTATCAAAGGTAAACTCACGGTAGAAAGACAACGCTTGCAGTAGCAGCACCGCGACAACAACGTGGGCGATGTGGATAAACACGCAGATCCACGTCGCAGCAGTGACATACACGCTACGCAGCCGTTGTGTTCGGGTTTGGGAGGGGGTAGCAGGCTGGGCTTGGGCGGTATATTAGTACGAAATTACCCCCCACCCCAGCCCTGGCTTGGCAACTTTTATGGGGTAAATATAGTGGAATGGTGTTGATTTTTCAAATACCGTAAAACACTATACATACTGTGGTATACTGTCTGGATGGTATGACGATATAAAATGACAGATACGACCCCCAGGGTGTCTGGATTTGGCTGATTCTGCTGATGACAATAAATAAGCATACAATGTAAAAGTATAATCGACTGGTAGTTTTCAAATCGCAACACCCATTTCCCTATCCTCAAGATCACATTTTGCTTTGAAAACACGGATATGCTCTAGGCATTTTAAAATAAAGTTTTATTGAAGTTGCATTAAATTACTTGTAGGTCATTTTTACGTGCCTGCAAGGTTGATAGTTTCAATTTTTCGACCAATCGTGTTGAATTAATTGGATGTGGTGACATTTTCACGTTATCCAGTTAATTTGACTGAGAATTATTTTACCTCAATATCCATAACCAATAATACAGAATAAAAATACAGACTTTCCCTGTGAATGCTAGCAGTTAATTCAGCAAACTATTGCCATTACTGTATAAATATCAAATGCTGTTAGCGCTCTGCAAAACTAAAGTGTATTTTTGTATATTGGCTAACTAGGAAGCTGAAACCTTAAAAAATGAGAATACCATATTTTATGTAGAACTTTGATGGGTCATGAAACCTGTTGAAAAACAAAAGATATTTTCTATACTGTTATTGGTTTAACATTTATCAATTCATCTTCTAACCACTTATGGTTGGGGCCATAATATTGGTCCTGAATGCCTACCTCATAAATATGACATTAATGTCCTGTGATCTTTCTTTTGGAGTCTAGAGTGAGAGGAAAGAAGAGATCCCGCTCACCAAGTAAGGATGAGGGACGTCCTGTGAAAAGAGGGAGGAGGACCCTGAATTCACAAGGCAGATGTCATCCCTCTACATCTACAGCCAAAACCCAGAAGGGTCCCTTTAAAGGTTTGTCATGTGACAGCAAAGTTATCATTGGAGACTGGATCCAGACTCATGTCATAGGTTAACTAATAGCAAACAAAAGTAAAAGTTAAAGAAAAGATAGAATTTTCACTATTAGTTTTTTTTTTATTTTTTACTGTGAATAATAATAATAATAATAATAATAATAATAATAATACCTGCAATCCTGTACCCGTCTTTTACTCACGGTAAGTTCCAGGCCCCACCACGCTTACTATGAACACTTACTATGGTCGGGGGCCATAATACTGACCATGAATGTCAATCCATCTATGCACCACATCATAAGCGTATGATATTAATTTCCTGTTACCTTTCTTTGAAGTGTCTGAGTCTAGAGTGAGTGGAAAGAAAAGATCCCGCTCACCAGACGAGGATGAGGAACGCCCAGGAAAAAGGGGGAGGAGCAAAAGTCCTGCTGCAGGTGTGTATGACAGAAACGTGGCAGGTTGATGCATAGCAGCATCTACAATTTTACCTTTAAGGTCATGTTTTCAGTAGATATTAGGAATGTAATGATACCAAAAAGTCACGGTGCGATAATATCACGATAAAAGGTTTCACAATACAATAATTATCACTATATTTAAAAGAAAAAAACTCTTAATAATTAATCATCAGCATGTATATTTATATCAAATTAGTTCTTCCTTTTAACATAAAGGGCTTCTGCTTTTCTTCATTAGTGAAATATCCAGGTATGACCTTAAGCCTTTGCCAGAACTTAGCAGTAATTGTCCTTTGCAATGAATGACTAAATAATGCATGTAATTATAAAACAAAACCAAGTCAGTAGTTCTTTTATAAAATATTAATTATTAATGCAGCAGCTGGATCTCTTAATCAAAACAATCTGTAATTCTGAAGTAGTGTTTTCTGCCATTTTTCCACTGGGTCTGTTCTCACCGTGTGAAATATAGGCCACGCCCATACTGTACATACTAACACGCAAAATGATGCGTGAAAACAGTGCACGTGTAACACTTATGAACCTATTTTGGGTCCACTTAGTAGTGCTACTGGCTAGTTCTAGGTTTGATGGGAGTGGTGGGGGAAAGATAATGACACCTCAAAATTTAGGACAACAACCTTTAGTAAATATTGATTGTAGAACATGAAGAATCATGAATACATTTATACACATTTACATTTAGATGGAAAAAACGTAAATCTGCCTCTTTGTAAAGTATGGATTTAGATTTTGTTTGTTTTGGGTTTCTGAGTCCAGTGGTTAAATCAGCTATTCATAGTTTAAATCTAGTTATACCTTAGTTTAGTTTTGCCAATGTTTGACTGTGCACAAATCGTATTAAATAATTATTTTGTGTCTATTTATGCTTATTTAAATTCTCTATCCAGTATCTTTAGCACCTATTTATCTTTCCTTTAAATCAGTAACTTCCCACACAAATGAAACTCAAAATTAATCAAGTATAAAAGGAAAAAACAAAATCACATCGTATAACATTCAGGCACATACCGTTCAATTCAGGCATAACAATGTCCAAAGGTTATTATACAGTTCAATTCAGTCCATCATATCCTAACTGCACATGTTATAAGAAATTCAAAGTTCCCTCTACTCATCCTTCACCGTTGTTCCATGGGTCTAGCTCATCATCCTGATATGAACTCTGTTCAGTGGGTCCCTGTTCGGCGAAGCACATGCATGAATATACGTTCCAAATCTTTGGAAGAGTCAATGTAGTGCAGAAAAAAACAATTTATTGTGGCTTAAACCATTTCTTCCATCTTCCTTTTCCTTTAGTTAATTAAAAAAAATCTTCTTACACCACTAAAGCTATAAAATCAAGTTTAACAAGTTTTCTTTTTACCCTATTCTAAATCCTATGGTAGTCTGCTGTTAGCACCTGCTGCAACCAGCCTTAACCGCTTCTGCAAATAAAAACCCGCGCTCTCCACATTACGTCCTGACATCACCTCACATTCTGCATACAATCGTCTTTTTTCTTAAAGAGATAAATTATCATTTTGTCAATATAATGTAAATCTGTTTTTGTATCTGTTTGACCAATATACAGTACTGTGCAAAAGTCTTAGGCAGTCCAAAGAAATGTTTAAAGCTGTTTATCTGGGTAGCAAGTGCACTTTGGCTTAGAACAAAAAACACAATTTAACATTAGAGCATGTGCAAATTAAGAGTAACACAATAAAAACTAGTAATAATTTCTTCTGTTTTCGAAAAACTTACTGATATCTAGTTGGATGGCTAGATGAACACCGCTTCAGTTCCCAAACTTCTCCTCAGGGGCACCTAGGCCATTCATTGATTTTGTTAAATTTCACCAACAGTTCAATTAAATAATTAAATAAATTGGTTTAAAAAGTCAGTGACAGATTGACTAGCTGTGTGAAGTGTGCTAGTGGCCAAGTCAAAAAATACATGGCTGCACTGGATGGTCCCTGCAAATATTGGGATGATTTTAGCAGAGGTTTTGAAATGGCTAAGCTGACACACTTTGACAGGCATAATATCATAGTTTTACACCAACACGAGGATAATCTAAATATAATTTTCTTTGCCTGCCTAAGACTTCTGCACAATACTGTATAAACTATTATTGTACTAGTAATAGATTTAATGACCTATTAATGACCTACGATATAGCACAAAGCATTCATTAATGTAGTATGTATTTTTTGAGACATAGCTTATACGAGCGAAATAACCACGCGATATCGTGGTTGATATCATAACAGTCTGACAATGGTTTCGAGGTATTTTTTTTATCGCGATACTGTGATATCACGTTTTTCGTTACATCCACATGTCACTGAACTCCCCAAATATTTACATATGTCTCAGTTTAAAACTACACTCTACATCCACATTGAATGCAGTTTATTGTTCGATTACATTGTCAATCTCTCATTGTCTGTAGTACCAAGTGGCCACAACGAATCAGCAGCTGGGAGTGGCACTGGAGATACCGGGAAATTTCGTAGGGAACTCCAGTATAAAATTAGCCAGCAGCTGATGCAAAGACAAATGCCGTCAGAAGCAGCAGCTTTGGATGGTGCAGGCCACTCCACTCCAAGTCCCAAACCCACCTCCAGTAATCCTAAAGGTTTATATTTGTCTCAGTCTTTTATATGATGAGGATACATTTACACAGATGATTTATTTTCAATGTGTGACTAATAACTGAACATAACATTAATTGTATAGTCATTTGCTAAACTACTACAGGCATGTGGGGTTGCATATCTGAATCAAAAGGTAAATGAAGGCCCACAAAAATATGATATTAACGCATTAAAGTTTCTTCTCTGGCTGCTTCTGGGTTTAGATAGTATCTAATATTTTGTAATTCTGGATGTTACCCTGACTAGCTGCTCAGTATTGTTTTGTGTCCCACTCTTTTTCTCTGTGCTGTAGAACGACTGGAGGACCTTTACTCTAAAGGGGCACTAATCGGCAGTGGAGCGTTTGGGAATGTGTATGCCGGAATCCGGAAGAAAGACGGATTACCAGTAAGATATATCTTACATTAGGTCCCATTAGTTTTTGTATCTGTTCAGTTCTATGTAATTTCTGTCTATAAAAATAATCTCTAATATTCTCCAGGTTGCAAATCAAAGAAGTCCTCAAAGACGAAGGGGAAGAGGTAGACATAGTAAGTAGCATGTATGGCTCCACACTAACATTTTAAAGGGGATAAGTGTCTTTTCTGCTCCCTGCATTGCCTCTTATCTGCTTCAACAATTCCACAGCCTGCACTTGGGGGAAAGATGCCCAAGGAGGTGGCCTTGATGATGCAGCTGAGCATCCCACCAACCTGCCCCTACATTGTGCAGTTTATTGAGTGGTTTGAAGGTCCGGAAAGCTGCTCAATAGTAATGGAGAGACCTGAGCCGTGTCAGGATCTTTATCACTACAGCATTGACTGTGGTGGCTCCCTGAGTGAGGAGGTGGCACAGCTGGTGCTGCTACAGCTGCTGCTGGCCCTCTTTCACTGTGAGGATCGGGGCGTCCGGCACGGGGACATCCAGGCTCAAAACCTCCTTATTCAGACATAATCTCTGCAGGTTAAGCTGATAGACTTTGGATGTGGGAGTTTTCGGAAAGACAGCCCCGATCCAAAATACTGTGGTTAGTGAAAAAAGATGTTAATCTTTACAGAAATATCGCTCCTTTATACTCTGTTTGCTTTCTGTAAAATAGTGAGATGTAAAGTGAGTTTATCAGTGTCTGTGGCATCTTCTCTCACTCATCTCATTCATT